CATTATTATGTGCCACAATCGCAAAAAGAAACATATATTTTGAGAAAACGCGGGAATCATTTTAATGCCATATGCTACCTGTTTAATTATTAACGTGTACCATGCTTTTATTACTTTTTCCCTTGTAATATAAGATTACATACAGATTCGATGTTTTGTAATTACGTGTTCCTATTGCTATTTTTTTAATAATCCCTTCAACATGCTAAGTGAAGCCATGACAATGTAATGCGGCTGCACGCAATTTTGTTTATCCCACCAGAAAGGGCTTTTTGAATTTATATCTTTTTAATTAATCGCGTTAACATTAATTGAATTTGTAAATCGGGCTACCCTTAAAAATTCATTTGAGGATATATATACTGGATAAATTATTTTGTCATAACCATTATCATTTAATATCCGATAATTTTATCTCATTAATTGCTCAGTGATCACTGATTACTGTATGGGCATTATTACAGATAGGTAAACGATCGCGTGTGCACCTTTTCTTTATCGCGTCTTGTACGTCTTGTATACGCCGCGAAATGTTTTACCGCAGATATACCGATTACATAGTTCTTAATAACAGAGCCGCGCAGGCTTCTATCATTATTGATTTTCCGAGGTGGTAAACTACAATTAATCGATACGTTTCTGATTGTAAAAAGAACTCTGTTCCTAATTAATGCTGCGCCGCATAAATATGCAGAAACCGAACTCGAATCTTCACGGCTACGTGATTCTATTTATGTACGAAACTCTTATATTTCATAATATTGCAAAATTCATAAAATAATAAGTAATTTAAACTATCAAAATAATGTCTACTAAAATGCTTTTTTAACGTAATTTTAACGTAATTTTTAACGTAATTTTTTAATAAAAAAAGTTAAAATATTTATTACATTAGAATATAAATGATTTTTTCCAAATATCTCTTTCTTCATGTAATATAAATAAAAAATTTCCTGACACTAATGAAATCATGTAAAATACATAAAAAGATTAAATCATACAAAGATATAATATATTACTGAACACTATTAATTCAATGTAATCTTTTAGTGTTTTTCATTGGTAGGAATTGAGTGCGACTGCACGTCGCTTGGAGCTTGTGCCGAGTTTCTTCACTAAAATGCAAAAACCCGGCATCAAGTCTTCCAGTTAAACAACGCGCACCGTCTCCTTGCGCACCGAAAAGCCCAATGAAACACAATTACTCTCGACAAGTGTGCACCCAGTGCGCATCAATACGTAAAAAACGCTATTTTGTTTCATCCTTTCTCGATTTCTATCTTAATAAACTCTTTCTATCCTGAAATTCACTTGCTTCCAAACTGGAAATTGTTGTAATTCTTCTTTACTTCATAACAGCTTCTATAAATCAAAATATATCTTTTATTAAGAATGTTGATTTTGATGTAAACTTTCTTATTGTATTTTTATTATAAGTATAAATTAATATATATTGAACAAAATATTTTTAATATGTCATTCACTTACATAAAAGAAACACAAATTAAAAATATGAAATACTAAACATATTATTTTTGTTAAATATTTTATATTTTTAACTTGTGTTTTTTTTATGTAAGTGAATAATATATTTTGATGTAAACTCTCTTATTGCATTTTTAATATAAGTATAAATTAATATATTTTGAGCAAAATGACATATAATAAAAAAATCATTTTTATAAAATATAATAATATACATATAATTTATATAATATTAATTGTTTGAACATTTTAATAAAATACCTACACAGTTGAATCGTACATTTCAATTTTGTATCTTCCTCATTTCCATTTCCCTCAGGGGGGATTCTTAATTATATTTTCGGAAAAATCTTATCTAACATCAGATTTTTTCTATTTTGTTTTCTTTGCCGGCAATAATTACAGATAGCAAATTTTAAGGACACTACATTTAGAAGAATCTGTAAAATCAAGAATGCATCCATTTCTTGATTTTTCATGAATGCATCATTTATCCGTTTTTTAAATTGATAACTGTTGGTTGAAAATAAAATGCAACAGAAAGTATCGAGTTTTTAAAAATATTAATAAAATATTAAAGTCAATATACAGATTGCTTACAAAAATGTTATCACGCTATTAAGAATAATTAAGTAGCATGCTAATGTCATTAATGTCATTAATGTCATTAATGTCATTAATGTCATTAATGTCATTATTAAAAATGAATAATTTTTTTCGGTATTTCTGAAGTATCATTAGATATACTTCGTTTTAAAATAGGTTTTGAACCGATTAATAATTGAGCAAAAGACATTGATTTGTCTTTTATTAATTTAATATCCGATAGTGCTTGAACTTCCAAATTAAAAATATCGTCTGTAAAATATTCATCTTATTTAAACAAGATTATATTATTATTATTATTAAATTTAAAAAATTTTTTAAATATTACTTGTAATTTTTACGCATCCTTTAAGTTCAACATAATCACCCTTTTTATATATAGTTTCTTGTTCATAATCCATTATTTTGATTTCTAATTTGTGAGTATCATCAGTAATGGAACCAGTTCCAATACTTTTGAAATTGTTTTTATAAGTATTAAAACTCGTTTTAATAAATCCACGTACAACTAAAAAATATAATATATATTATTTACTACATACATTAATAGCCAAATTATATTTTATATTAAAAAATATTATATTGTTTGTATCAGAACTTACGAATACATGAATTTATATGTCCCGAAATATCTGGCAACTCTATTAATTGAGGTTTTACCGAATTTATAAT